TTTATCTGCTGAACTGGTAAACAACCGTATTACAAAAATTATGGAAAAGATATTCTCCTTGGGAGAAAACACACAATTCATAGCATCAATATACAAGAAATATACTCACATCAACAATAAACAAGTGTGTGTTTTTCTGACTCGATGCTTTGTATCTGTTAATTAGTAAAAAGATCCTGCAAAGTCATATGATTTTCATTAAAATTGGCTACAAAAGCAATTCTCACAACATTTTGCTGAAGGGATAGCACAATTGTTTTAATATACCACTATTTACAGTGTTTAAGCTGTCACATTTTTAAAACTTAGCCACTTTACTTGACTGCACCCTTATCTGGAATTCCTGAAACTTACTTGGGATACAAATACTGTGGGGTACTATTTTACATTCATGAACATTTCAAAGCAGAAGCCACAACTAGGAAGTCAGATGCTATCTGAAAGAAACCCAAAACATTAAAGAAAGCTTTAGCATAATTCACAAAAGCTGTATTTTAACAGACACAGTGGCAGTACACTACAGTAAACAGATTTTGAACAAACTTATACAATTTAATAGCAGATAGGACAAGCTTTAGGTATTCAAAGATTAAAGTTTATCCTAAGACCTTACTCTGACTTGTTTATAGGTTCACCAAGGGTGAATTTTGTGATTTTTCTAGCCCAGAGGCTAACAACCTCCACCAGCTGAGCCATTATTAATACATTATTTGTCTGAGTATTACAGCACCAAATATTCAATAAAGTTATTCCTGCCTTTGTTAAATAACCATTAAATCTATGCCCTTTCCCACTCCAGTCTGTTTTGTACTGAGAAAAACAATTACTGCCATTCTCAGTTCAAACAGCAAACATTATAAATGTGATGATGAACCATGTAAGTTACAACATGCTGTCAATGTATGGAATAAGACTTCCCAATTTTCCTAAAGCAAAAAGTTAAGCATAAACAGAGCTGGAGAAAAGCAGCAAAGCTGACAAATCAAGTACTGAAATTAAGAGATTCACAAATTTAGGATGAAAACCTAAATGCCACCCTCTTTGGAATATGCATTATGTGATTATGTAATTACTTCCACAGTGCTTTTCTCCATAAATGCCTGACTCAGTTATTACAGAGGATGGAGTGCTCTGGGGATGAGTCAGCATTCTGTCAGAGTCATGAAGACAAGCCCCTCTATCATGCTCATGGCTGTAACTGTATGCTTCCCAGTTTCTAAACAGGCAATTTCAGGGAACAAAGGGCTCATGCTTAATACACTTTAATATTATTTTGGATTCTATTCATGCTTCTGGCAAAGAGTGCTTACATAATATGCAACAATTCACAAATTTTTCACAGGTTGCCCCTACTTAAAAGGTAATTGATTTTTCACTAGGTCTTAATTATGGTCATTTATTTTGATGCTTAAGCTTAATTTCTTAATGTCTCAGCTCCTCATGTTAAAATAAATCACTTCCAAAACCATAGTATGAAAAAAAGGTTGTGAGACTCTAAGATCAATTACAAGGGAGCTTGCAAAAGGACTGTCCTGAGACCAAGATTTGAATACCGTGTAGAAAAATGCTTAATACATGATAAACTATTAAGTAGTTATTCATTAAGTATTTTCATTACTAGCACTTAAGAAAACAGCATTCCAAATGGACTACAGTATTGTGCATGCAATACTGTAAAGCATACCTAAAGGACAGATTAAGGGTACAAATGCAGTGTTTTTATTTCTCCCTTAACAGTCAAAAGTTTCATGTGATTCTCTTAATAGAGAGCTACAGAAATGTCTGACAGAACGCAACTACTGCTGCTACTCCACATTCACCCTATCAACAACCTAAGGACAAGATTTGGCCTGAGTAGTAAACCTACCCTGAGCAGAAAATAAGAGCAACCATACCAGAAAGCCTCACTGCTCAAGGTGCAAGTTCACAACACAGGCAAGATTAAGCAGCCAGAGCTGTGTTCTGACAAGCCAGTTAATACATTTCAAAGACTGGGAACTGTGACAAACCTGTACAACTGGCCAGAAAACAGTCACTGAACCACAGTACAGCTCTGAGTATGGAGAGCTGTCTCTACACACTGCTATGACACGCATCATCTGTGGATCATGAGCAGGTTAGTAACAAGCTCAGATGTGGGAAAGAAAGTTTGAAATTATATGTGGTTAAACCATTTGGCTTTTTCCCTCTAGTGTAGAAAGGCAGCAATGCAAAGGAAGCTGGTGACTATAGAGCAAACGGTAATCTGAGTTCCAAAGTAGGATGATGTTATGAAGTACAATTCACTCACTTAGATTAATATCAGCATTAAGTCTTAATTTATTGGGAATTTATTTTTATCATCATCAGGGAAACACATAGGACTGAAAAAATCCCTATTCCTTCAGACTCATAACACTCAAAACCAACCTGAACTCTGCATTTAAACTTGCAAGAGGAACTAGAAAAGATTACAGTCATGCTTTCAAATACAATTTCATGCTACGAGATGACAGGTATCAAAATCCTCCATGCCATGAAGTTGTCCTAAAAGAACCCCCCCCCCACACACAAAAATTCTAGAAGCATCCTTGATGCTTTTCAAGAACCGTTTCCAAAACTTCCTATGCACTGTACGCGACCACATACGTAGCTCTTAGAAAGAGGGGTAACTACCTTCTCTCAAACTTCGGAAACAAAGCTACGAATTCCACTGATTTCACTACTTTAAAAAGTTTCCAAAATAAATCTGTCCAAAGAAATGCTACAGTTACATAACACAAATGTTATACAGCAGAATCCTGCTGCATATTTACATGCACAGTATTTTAAACCCTTTAAATCCCTAATAAAATGGTGAATACTCAACAATTCCAAGACTCTCTCTACTGTATAAAAAAACCCTCCTCTAAGTTTTCAAAATCCATTTTTATAAGGCAAATACATCAACACTATAATTAAGACAGTGCTATGTGGAGAGTTTTATCTTATGATAGGAGCATATATGCAGTTTATTTCCTGCTGGAATGAACTTAGGCTTTCCTCTCTTCTCTTTGCTGCTTCTCCTCCCCCCCCCCCCAAGCAAAAGAATCCCCTCTCCTTTTCCTAGACCCACTTCCCACACACTGCAAAAAAACCCCTCCCTGTGAAGTTATGACCTCATGCTGCTAGCCCATCTCCTTGTATGGAGCAACTCCGGGCTTACTGCCAGCTTTCTCCGCCTTCAGGCTGACACGGCAACATACCTTCCTTCATCCCTCTGCTTCCCAGCTGAAAGGACACCGAGCAGCGGCAGCGAGCAGAGGGTGCAAGCCGGGCAGGAAGAGGGGGTCTCCGCGTGGAGAAAGAACACACCGGCCGACTCGCATCTAGCATAAACCTACTTCGGATCTGCAAAGCACCTCTCCTCTCCATTGCACGAAGAGCTAAACTGAACTCTGAACATTTTAAAGTATGTAAATACATCCTACGTGACCTAACCGCGGTACAACCCCATGTAGCTGAATCTTGCTTCCCCACGTTAAATCTCTTTATTCCAGTGAAGCAAATGTTACCTCTCCCCCTCTCTTAACGAAGGCCTGTCTCATCTTCCTTTATATCACTCTACTTTAAAATACTCCCGCCCCTTCCTCGGCCTGTCTTTATTTTCAAGTGTCTCCTCAGAATGATTTCTACATGATCACATTAGGCACTGGCAATCCAAATACCAACTGAAGAAGAATGTTCCTTTGAAAGATTCAGTTGTGACATGAAGTTAATAGTTGTAGGAAAGCAGGAAAGGATCTTGATGATGGTTAACAGAGCTTTTGCTCAGTTAAAAAGTAACCTTGTACACAGGAGACTTGATCTTCTGCTCCAAAGCAATTCCCCAAAGCTCAACTCTGCCGGGGTTAACGTTCCATGCGTGTATGTTTTAAAGTTGCAACAGCACTGACAAGTTGCTTCAATGCAGTAAAAAGGAATTTATAAAAGCAGAGAACACACCTTTGTCTCATCAATAATCCCTACAGTAAATCAAACTACAACAATGTCCATCATTTGCAACCGATTGTGAGCAGATTTAAAGTATGAACGTCCCACCTCCTTGAGTCTTCAGAAGACTAGCACATACATGTAGTAAACTGTATCAGTCATCTCTTTATTACACATTATTTAGTAGGTACAATTAACTGAAAATAATACCCAGTAAGTTATTTTGGTCAAAAAGTTTCAGATGTCACCCAGTTTTTTCTTACACTGCAACTCGTTAGAAGAAGCTGCATTAAAATACAGCAGAGCATCAAAGTCACTTTGTGCAGGTTTGTTACGAAGTGGGGAGAAGTTATGTCAACTACCTGGAAAGCACTGCTGCTTTCTCGCAAAAAGCCAACGAGTTGGCTTTTTTAAAAGCGTAACAAAACCCTAGCCGTTCACATAGGATGTGTCACTTCCAAGGCTGTACACTCATGTAAATTCAAACAAAACAGAAACATACGCCAACATGAAAAGGGATGTTTAATGCCCTTCCATACATTTCATTCTCCAATACCAAATATGCGAGCATTCGGGACCCCCGCAGACATGAAACGCACGAACACACAAGCCGTAAAAACTCACAAGAAAAAAGCCAGGGCAGAAGCATCAAGGCCCGACCAACGCAGGCTCTAAATCTAATGCTTAAGTGAAGGCAGCCGCTCAGTTGTACAGCATTCTTACAGGAGGGGGGCAGGAGGAAAAAAAAAAACAAACAAAAACAGGGGCGCTGCACTTCTTTGGGGGGGGGGGCACACACCGCATCGTTTCAAGCGGCGGCTGGCGCGTCCTCCCGTTATTCGCAGCAGTTACAGCCCGGCCAGCGTGCCGTGGCGCAGCCGGAGCACAGGAGGGGATCAGACATGCCGGGCACCGGCGGCGAGAGGCGCCGCAGGAACGGGACCCGGTCAGCCCTTTCCCTCCCTTCG